TTCAATTAAAACCGTGTAGGATGAAGTTTTCACAGAATATATTATATATTAATATGGGTTGATACGAAGGCTAAAAAATTTAAAATTTTATAGATATATAAATCGACTATTTGATAGTTACTAATCATACCAAGCAGAAAAGGAAACGCCACTACACATCCTATGCGGTTGTAGCCATATATAAACGGAATATCTCCTTTGGTGTACACAAGTGTACACTCTATACTGAGGAGATAAAAACCATCACTATCATAATATCTTCCAGTTACTGTCCCTGACGGGTCTAGGTAGCTAGTAGAAAAACTCTGACAATAGACCTATGCAGCTCTCAGTGTTGCAGGTCTTAGCAGCTGAAAATAGCCCAAAACCCTCATTAAAGAAATACTAATCATACACCATTGTAAATATTATAGCTGTGCCCGCCTGAAATTGATATTCTGATGTATAAACTATATTACTGTAAAGTTTCGTCACAACCCGCACGGTAGTTTTTTACGTGAAACAGTAGCAAACATACATCAATATATATATCCATCCATACTCACAAACATTCGCATTTAGAATAGAATAGAATAGAAAATCATTTATTCAAATAAATTTAATTTAAGCACTTTTGAATAGTCATAACAATTTGTTTTTTATCTACCACTCGTTCGGAAAGCTGTCTCATCACAAAAAGAACGAGCAAGAAACTTGTGTGTTGCTCTTTTAAATAATCCTTGTAAGTTTACATTTACAAGTCGAAACGTGTGAATACAAACTATCAACAAGCACTAATTTTTGGGTCAAATATAAATATGCAATAAGATTAAATCAGTCGTAGTGATAAGAGCAGACCAGTCCCTACAAGCAGCACTCGTTTCACGAGTATGACGGATGAGCCAGCCATCACTGCGCTCGACCATATTTTAGGGAGCCCAATGACCCGGCCCACCACGCCGCCATATATATTTAATATACATAGCTCGACCAGACAGCCGAACATTCAACACTAGACTTCCAAATATATCTAAACTCTATACATTGCCTGATGATGTCTCGTCTAGAGGAGAAACACGTTTCGCAATATGGGTGTATTTTTTTATTTTTTTTTATTGGGTTGTTTGGGCTATTGTCAGATGTGTAGCACCTGTAGCACTGCGACCTACATAGATCTATTGTGCTCGCCCTTTTCAGAGTTCGCTACCTAGACCCGTCAGGGACAAGAATTGAAGGATATTCTTAGGAGCGATCGTTTTTATCTCCTCGGGAAAGAGTGTAAACTTTCCAAAGGAGATATTTCGTTTATGCATGAGTGGGCTACAACCACATAGGATGTGAAGCGGCGTTTCCTCTTCAGTTTGGCAGAATCTGCAGATACTTGTCGTGCATAGGACTAGCTTAGCCATATGCTTGTTCAATTTGGAGTGTCCTGTGAGGGCCCTAGTCATCATGCATATGTTGTTTTTACTCAATAGCAGTAATCTATTGGAGTATTTGGTCGAGAAGCCCGATATTAGGTCTTTTGAATGTATTAATCCTGGCATTAATACATTCACCACATATCCATCCAATATGAAAGAAAGAAAGAAAGAAAGAAAGAAAATATGGGCGTAGGTCCGATAACGGTCGTAATCTGAACATTATTGGGGCAGGTCATAATACTTCCGGTAGCGGTGCTCAGATTTCCGCACTGAATATTTGTTGTCTCACACATGCTAATGGTAACGGAATTAAACAAAGTAATACAAAAATATTAAGTAATGAAATAAACTTCCGCAAAATAACACCTAATTCGATAAAATATATTAACAATTTTGTAATTATGTGTAATACGCAGCAATACAAAAAGGTTGCAAGCTTAGTGTGGAAGATAGTTCTGGGAACAAAACGCTGATTTTCAGCTCTAACCCATTTCTGAGTATGTGAAAGCGATGAAACAAAGAGAAATAAAAATGTAAATACTATTTAATAAAGGTGTAAGAGAACTAATTTTTGTAATTGTTTTCCATACTATCTATACATATAAATAAAATTGGAGTGTCTGTTTGTAATATTGAAATAACTGTTTTTTACTACATGCATATGAATATGAACATAAATACGGTACATACACCAAAATAACATTTTGTACAATTTTTGTCTGTCTGTTTGTTCCCGCTAATCTCTGAAATGGCTGGACAGACTTTGACGGGACTTTTTTTGGCAGGTAGCTGATGTAATAAGGAGTAACTTTTATTTTAGAAAAATAAAGTTAAATGCCACGCGGACGAAGTCGCGGGAATAGCTAGTTGTAAATATTTTCTTTAATAAAATACAATTCTATACCGTAATGCAGACGGTAAAAAAAATGACGTTTGATTAATTTTTTTTAGAAATATGTTTTAGGGTACATATTTCTATTATATTATTGGGATATTATGCCTCTTATAATTATGTACATTGCTAGCAATGGGGCTAATATTCCACATTATTATCAATCCCCTTCGCCTGCAATTTGTTAATGTTGGTAATAAAGATTCTAATCTATCTATTTATCTAATATACTGTGCCCGTAACTTCGTTCGCGCAGCTCATGCAACGGAGCCCTTCAAATATGAATTATCCCCGTTTTTGCAATATTTTTCAGTGATGCTCCTATTGGTCGTAGCGTAATATTATATAGCTTAAAGCCTTCTTTGCCAAACAAACAAACTCTTCAGCTTTATAATATTAGTATAAATATCATCATCTGCTTCTTCCTTATCCCATTTATTTGTGGTCGGCGTTATATGTTTTTCTCTTCCATTCATCTCTGTTCGCAGTCATCGCGTTATTTACTACCTTTCTCACCATATCATCTTTCACACAGTCCATCCATCTCTTCTTCGGTCTTCCTCTACCCTTAAAACCATCCACATTTATATGTAACACCGTCATTAGGATATGATCTTCATTCCTATGCATTACATGCCCATACCACGATAGATGATTGCTCTTTAACCTCTCCGACATCAGTGCTACTTTCATACTTCCTCTGATGTATTCATTCTTTATCTTGTCTACCCTCGTCACACCACACATCCATCCAATATTAGTATAGATGGTAGTATAGATATATAGTTAAATATATATCTGTTGGTCGGTATGCCGGGCGGACGCGCTGTCAGCGTAACGAGGTCGGTCAGTATCGTGTTACTAGAAATGTAATACAAAACCACATACAAATGTATAAGTAGTGAGTCAATATTCATATTTATAGTATACTGTGCCTACAGTATGCACTACCAGATAAAAACACGTCTGCGTATGTACTTCAGTCTCACCTATTTCAGCCGCCAAACGTATTGCTTTGTAAGCTGTTCAGCTTGACATATTAATCCACCAGAAAGCCCACGCATGAGCTGTATGACAGGCGTCACATGATAATGTGATGTCCATAGTACTGCCATATGTAATAATATTTTGGTCAAGAACTGAGGAGTAGTTTTTGTACAATCATGGAATAATGCTACTGATGTAGTTTTTTCTTGTAGGGTGCAGATTAGACAGTGAAATTATTGGATAAGAGGCATAATATCTTAATACTCTCGAATGGCAATGCATGAGTGGTATTGCTTGCATCATATGATAATGAGATGTTCTGTTTGTACATATATATAGGGTAGAGTTACCACTTACTATCAGATGGTCTATGACCATAATCGCCATTCTGATTACATAAAAAAACCTATGTATAAGATTCTCAGATATATAGTGTTGATACACAAATTGAGGATTGTTCCCACTCAGTCTTATAGCTGGCCAATCTGTTACAGTCATGATGTGTATCATGTTACTTGTAAGGATTAGTCGGTTTAAGTAGTGTCTGCAAATTTAATTATCATTATTTAATAAAAATTAAAGAAATCATCCTCTGGGATTGTTCTGGAACAGGGTTGCAGAAGATAGAGTTCAGTGGAGAGAGCTGGAGGATGCCTATGGCAAAAGGCACACTAAGTTATGGGACATTTCACAAACATCAATATATACCCTAACTTTCGGAAAAAAGGCTATATTATTATTAATGGAATGGTCCACCCTTCTGCGGTAATGGTGTACACTGGTCCCCACCAGTGGTGGATTATAGAATGAACATAAGTTTAGGTCAGTTAGCCCATTGTGACAATTTCATAAGGAGTTTATTATGATGGTTTCCAGATGGAAACATGTTGAGGTCAACCTAACATAGTACATTAGCTAGCAATGGAATCATCAGTCCTCATTACAATCCTTTCTCACATTGGGTCCTAGTTGTCTCTGCAGATGATTAAGCAAAAATTTCCTGCTTGTGATGATGTCAAGGATATTCTCTTTTGGCATCACAATGATGTTCCTTTGTCTTGATAATAATTTTACAATTTATAATACTAAAAAAAATTATTAATGTTTTTTGCATCTATTGTTGATAAATATACAAATGTTTATAGAATATTCTAGACCACAGAAAGCTTTTATCAAGTTTTTTATTCACTAAACAGCAAGTGAACTAGTGTTTTATTAATTTTTCATTACCAACAAAAATATGCATAGATAATATAATTATTATTGATTATAAAAGAAGTCCACATGTAAAATCAAGCATTTTTTATGCCACTTTTCAATTCCAGATAGAAAATAGAAAATTACAATGGAGGATAAGGATAATTTTCTTATCCAAAATTATTCACAAATAAATCATTTATGTGTCCAATTTTGTAGTCGTAGTTGCTTCAAATCTAATAAAAATCTAATAAGACTAATTTCTAAGGTCTATTTCTTATAAGTTTAATACTGTTGTAACAAATCTCAAATTAGTACAATAATTATTATGTAATGTATATAAAATAAATATTATATATTACTCTGTATGCTAATTAGATACGCGTTTTTTTTTACTCGTACGCACTAGCGGTTTGTTTTTTTTTTTTCTAATGGTAACCAACGTCGACCTTGAAGTAACATAGCGGCCCCATAGAACACATACAAACAAAATAACACTATGAATTAGGTGTAACACTTACCGAAATCAATAAACTGCTTAATAGAGAGCGGCGAAGGATTAAATTGCGAATAAAAATCGAGCATTTTCGTAACATTTGTGAAAATGGCACCCGCCAGCCTCATTTTGTATGTTAATAAACACACTCGTCGATTAAAAAATAAAACAGCAATGTTTATCAATGTTATTATCAATTCACGGTCACTAAACAACAAACGGACACATGTTCTAGTAAGACAACATTAAACAAGAGAATTTTAGAATATCTTCTACTAACAAACGAACAGTTCATCGGAAGATCAAAAATCAACTGACTGAAAACTGAAGTGATTAAGGGGGTTGCCATCTTAAAATTTTTTCCTAAGTATTAAATTGCTAAAAATCTAAGTTACTAGTTTACAATCTAACATCTTAGGTGTCCTCAGCGATATCATAAATCACTCGTTACTTACCCGGGGCCACCCGAAATAATCTCGTCCTCGGCTCGATATTCTTGAATTGTAATTAAATATTTTTAGCCAATTTTCATTGCGGGCGGCAGCATTGTTGCTTTGTTAAGTTTTATCAAAGGTTTTATTCAGGACTCAGGATCAATAAGACTGTCATTACAGACCGAATTCCTTTGTAAAACTTGCTTTTGTAAATATATTTATCTCTTGTAAAAATATGTTAGTAGTTACGACTAGTTTCGTCATTACTCCACCTATTTTTTGGTACCGCTGTTAGTATAGAAACATATTGTAAATAATAGAAGTAATATTAGTCACTAAATTTATGTTCGAAAATTTCTGAAATATCGTATATATTTTTTTTATTTAATAGTTTTGTATTTATATATTTAAGTAGTACAAAAATTATGCCATAAATATTTTCAACTTGAGATTCTCAATCAATCTCTACAACATAACCCTTTGAAAAATAAATTTGAGTATAATTATACTCAAAGTTTAATTCGATATATAAATTGAGAGATGTATTTGAGAGAGCCATGTTGGTAACACTTGCATTTTTTTTAATCATTGCCGAATGGATTGACATTGACAAAATCATTTTATCAATCACTTAATGGCATTAATCAAAGTCATTCAAAGTTTTAGTATATTCGGTAATGTCTACTTGTCTATTTACAATACACCTCCTATGTTTTTTGTATATGTTTTTTTCCACCGCGTAGAATATTTATATAAGAATCTATGATTTCATTAATATTTAGGAATAAAACACAGTGATTACTGACTTGCTCAATACAAAAATAATAATAATTAGAAACCTGTGACGTTACTCAGACTATTTCTGTATTTTATGGCGCATATTTTGAATTTATATTGACATACTTATCTTTGTGTACATTTTAATGTTATTATCAGTAGGTACAATGGATAACAATTAATGTTATTTCAGTCACAGTGTTTTACATTCTACTTCAAGCGATCCAGCACAATATATATTAATAAAGTAAGTAATAACTCGAGAACTCGAGAATTTCATTATCGACAAAAGAATATTAAATTTTTTGCCAAAAAGTGTTTAAGTAAACATGCCAATCGATAGAGCTCATCATTCTAATTCGAAACTGTTATATACATTTTTTTCTTAAACCTAATATTTGGACAGTAAAAAAATAGTTTCTTTTTTTTTATATGGAATTCAAGACATTATTGTTTTCTATGTATATTATGTATATATTTATAACAAAATTATTTACATAATTTGTCTAGTAGTAGTCCACATCACTTTTATTATTATTATAATTAAATTATAAACTCTTAATATTTAGATGAGTACATTTTTAATATGTTTGTTTCTTTCAGATGACCCATAGAGTATTTGTTTATGGGACATTGAAACGTAATGAGCCCAACCACTACTGGCTGACCAAACCTGAGAATGGTTATGGCAAGTTTATCGCTGAGGGAAGAACAAAGACAAAGTATCCACTGATAATAGCCACTAAGTATAATATACCATTCCTTATTTATAGTCCTGGTCAAGGATATAATGTTAAAGGTATATTTAATATTTATATATATATACAGTGTTATTCATAAAACTTAAGAAGCCTTTATAAGCCCACTATAACAGTGCTATAAAGGCTTTATAAAAATCTCTAATAATTGTTTGTTCATAACACTTTATTGTACAGTAAATATATTTAAAATAAAAGGATACAACAATCTTAAGAAATAAGTTAACTCAAGTGAAAAAAGTCATTCTTCCAGTCAACCTTTGAATGACTGAAAGGAATTGTGGAGTGGTGGAAACAGATACATACATGACAATACCAACAAAAGAATGGGTAGTTAATGGGGGATTTTAGTAATGGGAACTAGCAATTCTCATTGATAGCAGTGTACCATGTTAGGTTCACCTCCTCATGGTTCCGCCTGGTAACTCTCGTGATAAAATCCTGGTGAATTCATCACTATGGCCTAACTGACCTGACCTTTATTATTCATCTTATCAACCTCCATTGGAGCCACGCCAACGTATACACTTAGCGTAGGCGTACCATTTTATTATCATTCATAAAAAAATGTACCAACAAAATAAATAGCAAACACATTATATGTAACTATAATATATAATAACTAGAATATTAGTCATGAAGGGAGACAAACTTTTTAGCATTCCATGGATTCACCATGCTGGTACCAGGTCCATCCATAATTTATGTATTTTGTAAGGTTTTCTGTGAGGAGTTATCATTACTTACAATGATTACTTATCTTAATTTATTAGCAATAAGTTTAATATTACCTATAGTCATACTTTCATTGTCTATTAATAAAATAAATATTTATATCAAGTAAAATTCATAAATTTATCATTCCAATTTTATCAAGATCAATCAAAATCAATATTAAGGGTCGGCAACATGCACGTGACAGCCCTGGTGTTTCAGGCATCTATAGCTTACTATAACCATTTACCATCAGATGGGTCGTATTGTTTGCCACCATAGCAGTCTAAAAAGATATTCCAACATTTTCCCTCACCTATTTTTCAGTAGTATTCAAAATCTCTTTAGATTCACCCTGTGTACTACAGCCTCATTTCATATTTTATCTTTCCAGTTCAACTATCAACTGATGATAATATTTTTCTACTAACTTTACAGGAGAAATTTATGAAGTTGACAATACAATGCTGAGTAAATTGGACATATTGGAAGACCACCCGAATTACTATATTAGAGAAATAGATGATATTGAAGTTAAAACGTCGTAAGTTACTGTATTTTCCCTTTTTTTTTACATATTTTACGTTATTATGAATTAAAATTTTATTTAGAATTTAGAATCTAAATTTAGAAGCGTGTGTAATGTTTGCAGTATGTTTAAGGAGTAGATCCTCCCGCTGAGGTGGACCCTCCATTCTTAGTTCCCACACCCAAAAAATCTGCTCATAGTTCTGGGACTAATTGCAGATAGGAAGAGATAAACAAAAAAAAATTATTACAATCAATTTTTATATACAAAAACGTACAGATGTAGCTAAGTATAGAAGTATAGAAGTGTTTAAACACTGTTATTTACTTATATCTTTACATGTATATAATATAAAATGTATATGTCGTCATCACTGTTTGTTCGCTTCTATCTTTTAAACTACGCAATGGATTTTAATGTAGTTTTAAGAGGAAAGTTCATATGTATAACTAGCTTTTGCCCGCGGCTTCGCTCGCGTTAATTTATCACTTTAGGGGTGGAATTTATCAAAATCCTTTCTTAGGGGATGCCTACGTCATAGTAGATTTATGCATGCAAAGTCTCAGCCCGATCGGTCTAAAATTTACAAAGGTTCATACAAACTTTCATCCCCTATTTTATCCCCTTGGGTGTAGAATTAATAAAAATCCATTCTTAGCGGATGGCTACGTCATAATATCTACCTGCATGCTAAATTTCAGCCCGATCCGTCCAGTGGTTTGGGCTGTGCGTTGATAGATGACTACGTCAGTCACCTTTGAGTTATAGTAGTCCGAAAAAAAAAAGTGATATCCATGGTGCTGTTTATGTTTATAAAGAACGCTTACCACTTACCATCGGGTGGGCAATCAGACTGTTTGTAATGTCAATTGCATATTAAGATATAACTAATAAAAATACGCAATTAATATAAGTACGTTATTAATATCTCTTTTTCAGGGATTCAACTGAGGGAGGAATAATGAAATGCTGGGTATATTTCCTCAAGAGTTTTAAACAGGAGTTGCTGTCTCGGCCTCAAATGGATGACTACTCTTCGAGCGGCAGTCACGGTCTACCCTACATGGAAAGGTCTAAGCGAGATCCCTCTTATAACTATCGTGCTGAGATTAAGGACTGAGACCAGAGCACTTGAATCTCCTTCTATGTCTTAAGTCTTATATTACTTTGTTTTTAATTACTTAAATACTTAATAGATTTATATTAGTTTGTTTAATTCCGCTACAATTAGCATGTGGGAGATCACAAATAGTCCGTGCCAAACTTGACTGATATGCAATTTTTTTTAAATTACTATTGTAGTATTTATATTTATTATAAGCTATTAGGTGAGGAAAGAAGGGGAGGAGAATGGGGTTCGAAAAAAATGAGGGAAAAACGTCTACCTGTATCTCAAACAGTCCTTGTGTCTTTCCAAGGCGCATACAGTCACAAATTGCTTAAGAAAATTATTTAAGACCTGAGTATATCATTAAATATATTATTATTAATATGTATGTACTGTTAAAAACAAACCCGAAGAGTGAAGTTCTGGTATACTTACATTACTCTTTGAAGTTTGGTCTCTCCCATCGATCCCCCGTCTAATTCAAACGGGGATCGAAATTACGACGACGTGAACCGAGGTTCGAACCCCTAGTGGTGCCTTAAAATTAAAGTCGTATCCGTCAGGCGGGAGTTGGCCTTCAGCCGCTCTATAAGTTCTTTTGGTTTAGAGTGCCATCTGCACTCGCCCCCTCGCCCCCATCTAACCCCTAGGCCAAAAGCATAATTACTAACCATAGTTATAAAAACAAACGAGTCATAGAGGTATAATATGTTCTGAATTTATATACTTTGTATATTATATAATTTAGAACGAAGTTTTATATACTTATGTTTTATATATTTAATACAAACCTTTAATTATTATGTTACGGAGGTAGAATATCGTTAGTATGTATATTAAAAGAAATATTATAATTTAATGTATTAAGGATAAAATATTCACATTTTTTTTTTTTTTTTTCAGTAATAATGAATCCACTTTTGAGGATCTGGATGATATTGTAACAAAATAATATATGTTTATATTTAGTTAATGTATACATATATGTTTATAAAATAGATATATACTATTAAAAGAGTAGACGAAGTCGTATAAACCGTTAATTATCTATATTTTTACAATATACTGTGTATCTTTTATACCGTTTTTCTTTGAAAATAAATTATATATGGAGTCTCGTTAAAAATATCTTTTATTTCGTAACATACATATATATTTTCTGCTGTTCCAATAGCCACAGTGAGACTTAGTGTACACCAGTTTACACAGAGTAATTTTGTAAATTAAACTCGCACACAGACATACCAAATGAAATTGTTTATTTTGTCTCTAGAAAATCCATATAGCGCTACCTAGTCCCGATCACCAGAGCTTGTGTTATGGTTACTAGACAACAGATATAAAATACATAGATTTGTTGTAAATAGATACATAATATACGTAGATAAAATCCGGATATCGTGAGTGCTGTATTTCGCTATTTTTCGTCAAACAATCTAATGACGGTAGTTGAACAAACTTCCGGCACCCACCAACATTGACATTCGATGTTACTCCAGTTAACTCGTCACCGCAGCTAGTGCAACCTACTCAAAACGTTAAAAGAGGTAAATACTTTTATTTAATATAAAATTATTCGTGTTAAAACTCGTTAAACTAATATTATTAATCGTTAAATTAATATTATTATGTGTAACAAAAGTTTAAAAGTAAGTACAAATGTATGTAACCTGCGATGAATCGCACCTGCGACCGTCGGAAGTATAGCGGTGTGATAAGCCGTTAACCTATCGTGGCCGTTATAATAATATTCTATTTTAATTATGCGACTACTGAAACCGTGGTGATAATTATGTATTGAAATATGTGATGAATCTATGTAGTCTTTCATTACTGTCGTGTCTACATTTCTGCAAACACTCGAGACACTTTCATTAGTATCTCTCCAGATAACATAGATATAAATGTAAAGTCAGTCCTCGTTAACGCGTAATTAATAAGCCATGTAACACAATATCAAATAGACATATTAATAATAAATAGTACAATTATTTCACCGGTATATTCACTACCTACATACTGCAATAAACAAATACATAATGTAGCGACACCTCATCACATCATATATAACGCCACAGTTTTGAAGATAATCACCGCGCTACACTATCCTAGTTACTTGTGAAATAACAGACACAGAAATAACAGACCCCGAGAGGTTTATCTCATAGAATGCATTGACAGCAATAGGGGTACTATTCCCTATTATGAACAATTACAACATTATTATATTTGGAATCGGTCATATTTCAAAAGGTTTTTGAGAAAGGCTGTCTTTATGGGGGTATTTTGAAAATAAATAACAGAAATAGTTACACAATATTTGACAACACTAAGACGGTCTGAACAACAGTTTGTAAGTAATCAACCAATTGTTTTTGTAAATATAATAATCAATCCAAACATATTTTTTATAAGATATTTAAAAATATATTAAGGGTATTTGAGCTTTTTGACCTTCTTGTATTTTTTTGAAATATCTTTAATATAATAATTTTTTCATATATTTTCGGAATTATAAAATCGACTAGAAAATTGTATACTGTTTACAATATTTTCTTATCTGTATTATTAAATAATAAATTATTATGTTTACATCACTATCTATAATAGCAACACTCGTTTTGACTAAAATAAATGGGGGTGATTGTTTGCCATATTTGCTTAAGATGTTAGTGTTCTGTGGTCAAAGCAGGCCATAGTGTCATGTAAAAAAAAACATAAACGACAACATTTTATAGGTTATATACTGTTACATGGTTATTTATTTTATATTTTATTTTCTAAATGAACATAAGGAATTAGGTGTTAATATAAATATATAACAAATTTCTCTACAGTTTTATACGACCACTAAATTAACAAAATGGATTTCGCCCGTAAAATGTTAGAGAAGTATGGTTGGACCGATGGTGAGTAATAGTTTTTTAATTGATTTTTTTTATGAAATGCAATGGCAAACAAGCTCAAAAACTGCCTAATGTTATGAGACAATTGTCACTTATATACATGGACAGTACTATGGACATCACGTAATTATACGAGGAGCGTGGTACCACTGATGCATTGCAAATCGGGAGCGCGATGTCACATTATCGTTATGCTTATCGTAATATTGTCTACTGGTACTCCACCAGCGTATACTGTTAGCGTAGACGAGTGCACCGCTCCTAATTTTTCCATTGTTATTTGAAAATATGCTCTAAATTTTCAGGTAAAGGCCTAGGTAAACATGAGAATGGAATTTCGGAAGCTTTGAAGCCAAAATTGAAACGTAGCGTAACCGGAGTGGGGCATGATGCTGCATCAGAGTTTAATGAACATTGGTGGAGTCAATTATATGATAAGGCCGCTGGAAATGTACAGGTATTGTGTATATTTAGAATAATAATAATATAACAAAATGTACAAGTTGAGTTTCTTCTAATTCTGCAAACAAATAATTTATTTGCAGAATTCAGTGCCTGCCTTTTAACAATATTGTGCCTACACTTGTAATATTTCTGACAACACTTGGCACCCTTCTATTTGTTTATACTTAAAACTTCACAGTGTTCTCTATACACCATTTATATTCTACAGCAACAGCTACAAGCGACGTGATAATCCTTCCTCATTTTATAAACTTAAAACAAACCTTTAAAAGATATAGGTGTACAGAATTACATACTCAGAACCAGTTTTACAGCGTAGGTCCCCGCATACACAAACCTAAGGTTTGCTTATAGAGGTAATAGGATATTATAGTTGTTCCTATGATGTCCATCTGTCTGACGCTGACATCTTGAACTTTGGATGGTAGATATAGAGATAAAAAGGTCATAACATGCATAGGAGTTTTATTTATATTAATTGTCGAGAACCATAACACAAATTCTGCTTAGTTAGTGACAACATGACATTGTGATCTAGAGATGTATGTAATATGTCAGGCTATAAAAATACCAATTTCAATCACATTATTAAGAGCTTACACAAAAACTACTGTTGAGATGAATATACAGGTTTCAAATAAAAGAGAATCATCAAAATCAGTTTATATAGGCAAAAGTTTAAGGTAACATGCAAAAAACCTTTACTCCTTTTTTTGGAGTCGGTCAGAAAACTGAATATATAGTAAATTATATTTCCCAGGTTGAAGAAGTGAATGGTAAAACAAAACGAATAACTGCCAAGGATGGTAACGAGTTTGAGATAACCAACAGTACATGGCGTCTAAATAAGAAGAAGAAGGTGGACAATGATGGAGAATATTCTGAGTATTTCGTCAGGAAGGCTGTCTTGACCAGCGGAGGGAGTAAGGTACAAATGTCTTTATTCTATGATTACTAATCTATTTTTCTATTCTTCTAGACTATAATCTTCACGAATCTTTATGAATCTTTGGCAAAGAGGTTGTATAGTTGGAGGAGGGAGGATTGTTATTTCATCACCTTACTTCCCATGATTGCATCCTCACAGGATACAAACATTCATATTCATGAGTATCATCATTTATATTAGTTTTGTGTTTTCTATGTATGTGTATGTATTTAAGTATCAGTTGAATAGTATCCATAACATTATTAGTAACAAATAAACACATGGGTTTATTTGTTATTAACATTGTTGGGAATATTGAAATCTGTAATAAACAATATGAATATTCATTATTAATGTATGAGTTTTAAAAGGAATAATTTTATGGTAAATTAGATACTAGCTTCTCAACATAACATAGCTGAAGTCTGGAGGGATAGATCTCTTATGATAACAATAGTAAAAAAAGACTGTCCTTTATTATTAAGTGAATACCTTTATACAAGAACATACAATGAAATTGTAAAAAGTCTGTCAGTTTGTGTGTTAATATTTCGTATAAAAATGGCTGGAGTAATTAGGATGAAATTTTCATAGAAAATGTTCAATATGGGTTAAAATAACACTTTGTTGGAGTCTGAATAATAATTATAAAAGAGTAATTAATTCATGTTAAACGACAAGGGACCTTTTTTTTTGCATTATGTTCAGCACATTTATGTTGAGTTTTCTTTTGTAATTATTTTTCAGAGCATAATCATATCAAATCAAAATATCTTTATTCATGTAGGTCTATTACAGACTCCTATGATATGTCAAATCTACCGTCAGTTCAGAGTGCTTTCGAGCTGAGAAGAACCGAATAGAAACTCAGCTCATATTCTTTTCAAAGTAGCTTGTACATGTTTTAAATAATATAGATGCATATTTAAATTTAGGAGAATAGAGAGACCAGCATATGCTATTGCAATTTTATCAAAAGAAAATAGTCTAATCAGCTTTTATAACCCGAACAGACTAGTCCTCACAAGCAGTATCCGTTCACGAGTATGATGGATAAAGAATAAAGAGTTTTAATATTATTAGGTAGTGGACTGGTTTACTATGCTGACTAAAGCGCTAAAGTCGAGATTAAATCAGATAATCCTCATCATGATGGAAATACAGACAACAAACTAAAAAAAATCAGAAATGTTGAAGCTTAGACATTTCAAGTACAGTATTTACCAGAATATCGCTTCTGGCTACCCAATCTGCCCTAACCTAGCCTGCTTTGGGTCGGAGAGGACCACAAAATCCTCTCCTCCAAAGTTGCCGGTCCCAAGCCCGGATAAATAGCGAGGGTCTTTATATATAGTTTAAGTATGTATGTTATAAAATAATTTATAAGTAATGTTCATATTTTTATATTAATATTTATTATTATTCTTCTCTTTCCAAACTATCATATCTATTTCAATCAGCTGCACCTGGTAGGTGAGACTGCAGCACATATTTATATATATATATATATATCTTATCAACCGTTTATTTATTTATAAATAAAACGTGCCTAGGCAAGCACCTAAGTAAATTATAGCCAGTTTATATGTATGTACATACTATTTCATTTACATAGCTTCTAGCACCTACCTGCGCTAAGGCCTGCGCAGTTGAGCGCCGTAAGCGGGGAAGACGGAATCCTGGGAGGTTGAGTCAATCGGAGGTCGGAGCAGTTACTTCCGGGCGACAACACGCCTCCTTTGGCCCTTATTTCTGGCGAAACGGCAGCCCGAGCAGCTAGCCACTGCTAGGGAAATGGTCCAGTGCTTTACCGTCACAGGAGCACGGCGAGGAGTGGGAAGGTCTCTTCGGAGAAGGTAGTCGGCCATGCTGACGGGGTGAGGCACTGTGGAAATTCTCTAGCCGCAGTGTTCGAGCTCCCGATGTCGCGCAAAGACGCCACCTTTCTGCTCCTAGATCCACTCGAGAAGATCCTGGTGCCATTGCGGCATCCCCATTTGCGGGCTCCGAGGAGGGTGGGACATCGATTGGACGACTTTTTCTTTTATCTCAACATGGACATTGTCAATGATATTGAGAAACTGCCTGAAGGAAGCATCTTGGACGATAATGAACGCCAAGAACTCACATCCGACGACGGAAAATGTTTGGATGTGGCTGATCAGCCTACAGGGGCGGATGACCTAGGTCTAACGCCCGAAAGGGACTCAAAGCCGATGCCAAAAAAAAGGCTAACAGGAGCAGCGAGAAAACGCCTAAAACTGTTGTTAGCCGCTAATATCAAGGCAGAGGAAGCCTTACTACTCTGCCGAAAGCCAATGCGAGAGCAGCCTCCAGAGGTGAGATCCATTAAGCGCCCACGGTTAGAGGAGGTGTCTCCAAAGGCGCACGCGCACAAAACGCCACAAATGACGCAGCCGAAGTTCACTGGAAAAGGTACTCAGGCAACTTCAAAGTCACTAGTGCCTACTGTACCTCAGACACCTCTGGTTGCATACGAGCCAATTCCGATACCATGTGGCTCGTCAAGCTTGATGGAATTTGGACCAACAACAAGTGCCACTAGCAGCTCAGCCATGCGAACTACGGTTACGGCCCACCAGTTGCGAACGCCTGCACCCAACCAGTGCGTAACGACTACAGGGATGACCGTAAACGCAAAAGAGGAAACAGCAACCTTTAAAGACGCTCTTAAATCGTTCCGAGTGGGGATCCAACATACGACCCCAATGACGGACGAAATGATGAGCATGGTGCGCTCCTCAGTTCTCTGTGAAGTTGCTAAAATCACGGAGGCTGGAACGGGCCCCCGTTTTGTAGGTTGCAGCTTCAAGCCAGGCTGGCTGTTAATCACCTGTCAGAATGAGCCGACTAAAAAATGGCTGGAAAGCATAACGCCCACCTTAAAACCTTGGGCCGAGGCAGAACTTTCTGTGTTGCACGAGAAATCGATGCCCAAACTAGCCATTGGAACGGCCTTCATACCCAACTCGGAGACAAATTCAGTCGAGGTGGCACTAAAATTGCTAAAGTCCCAAAATGACTGCCTAAACACTGACCAGTGGAAAATTCTGAACCGCAAGGAAGTAGAGAACGGCACAATCCTGACTGTATCAATGGACGAACTCTCGGTTGATTTCATTAAAGCCCAGGACTATAAAGTCAACCTTGGCTTTAGAAAGGTCCAGTTTAGAATCAAAGGTAACACCACGTCTGCACGACAGCCTACTTCAGAGGGTACTGGTAGTTCCACCATGGAAATGCCCACACCGCCTGAAGCGGCGAAGAGCGAGGAATACAACTCCAAATTCGCCAGAGACAGCTTTCCCCAATCAAAGGGGACCTCGCAGACGTGGATCCCCAGATTCAAGACGGGACAACAAGTTCGCGGCAGGTACGCCTCAGTGCCCAATCGCAACCCAAGGGGACGCCCACGTCCCACGGGTATGGCGAAAGGGAACCGATAAAGCGTCCACACGCAGCAAATGTATCAGAGCTAATATTGTCCAGGTCAATATACATCATGCTTTGGCGTTCTCAAAAATGACCTGAACCTTGCTCTGATACATGAACCATAATGAGTCATGGTTCTTTTAAAGCCACGATTTTAGACCTTAATGTCTCAGGTAATATTCTTTTTTAATATCAATGGCACTCAACCTTGAGAATGTACTCGTTTTGTTAAGAAACTTGATTTTAGAACCTGTTCCAGAACTATGTATTAATGACCTGGTGACAGCCTTCTTCAACCTCTGTGGATGCACTGGGTCTAAAGTACTAGTCTGCTCAACATTCCATCCTGGACATGATGTAAACAAAAGAATAATCAAACAACCGACCTACAGCCAGTGGTGGAATACGCCCGTAAGCACATGGCCGATGCAAATGCCCATCATTCAAATTGTGGAAACTCCAACATCAACACCAGAGGTGAGTTACTTGATGATTTTATACTAAGCAACTGTCTAGAGATTCTAAACACAGGGTGCACATCGACGTTCGTCACGGCCACAAGACAAGAGGTATTAGATATAACACTCGCGACCGACAAACTGGTCGAAAATATCACTCATTGGTATGTCAGCAATGAGAACTACATGTCTGATCATAAACACATCAGGTTCATGATTGAGGCTGCAACAGACTCAAACCCCATACTCTTCAGAAACCCAAAGGCTACAGAATGGCATAAATACAGAGACACTAAAAAGCCTAATTGTGGATCTTCCGAAGAGTATCAAATCTCCTCTAAAACTAGAACTCGCTATGGACTAATTTTATAATAGGCATACTAAGTGCCTACGAGAGTAACTGTCCTATTAAGACCAAAAACTCCAACCGTACCTGGTGGCACAAGAGTCTTAGAAAAACTGAGTAGAAAAACTCGCAAATTATCCAACAAGGCTAAAAAGGGATATTTTGAGATGGCCCAATGTAGTAAAGCCCAAACGGAAAACAGCCAAAATAGGTAGATTCTGCGAGGAGATAACTCAAACTCCTTAACGATCCAAAAACACAAAGTGGTGGCAATCAAACCAAATTGGACTTTTTAAAAAGGCCCGATGGTACCAGTACCTAATACCCTACAGTTGCTATCTACAACACACTTCCACAAAAACCCTCTAAGCTCAAATCTACATAAGCCCGAACATGAGGCGTGGAACAGAGCTGCCAGGATTTTCCAACAACAACAAATTAAGTGGGCCATAGAATTCTTTAAGCCATTTAAATCGGCGGGAGAAGATAGAATTTTCCGAAAATGCCGACCAATTGGAAAAATTAGAGGTAAAAACCGCCCAACAGAGCTCTGATGCCTTCTGTGGCGTGCCTCGTTGCCTAAAACTGGGACATCTCTAACTAATAACCAAACAGGAAGCACTGAATAACTGGCAGAATATGCCAGGTTTAGAACATTCAAAAGCCTTTATAACCGGCTACTCTGTTTTTACTCTTTAGCCTATTGCTAAAGATTAAAAAAAATATATGCCTCACTGGATACTGCAAATTGAATAATCACATGCCAAACTTAGGCATGTGCTCAACAAAAATCTGCAGATTTGTAGAGGATACGCTTTGTCATTCTATTCTATCTAACGTCTATTCTATTGTATTCTAATATCCTTCAATTTTTGTCCCTCACGGGCGCGAACTTTGAAAAAGTGCGAGCATAATAGATCTAGAGGTTGCAATGTTACAGGTCTAAAGCACCTGACAATAGCCCAAATCCCTGAATAAAAAAAATACCCCATCTGAAATAACAGTCATGGTAGCACATTATAATGGAGGAATGGTATTGTTAGTAATAATAATCTGATACGAATACATAGTTCTTTTCGTAAATACATACATATCAAACATAGAATACACCCAGATCGAGACAAACAATCGTACTCATGAATATAAATGTTGGTGCCGGGCGACGAATCGCACCCGCGACCATCAGTAAGGCGGCAAGCTAAACCACTAGACCACCGAAGCCGTAATGTGAATTAATAACTCCTTGTCTAGCAATGTACCATGTCAGGTTAAGGATACAAGATCAGATAGCATGCCTCTTACTCTGTAATTTCACGGCCTAATCGCAATGTACTACAAAAACAGTTTCTAAAGCAAACTGCTTAGTGGTTGAATAATAATATTTCGGGATAATTCACACAGCGCCATCCCAAGTTAAGCTATCTATTGTTTTGTCAAGCTAGAGCTTGTGTTATGGGTACTAGACAACTGATATGAATATATAGATATATTTTTAAACAACTGATTTAAATATTTAAATACATTTTTTGGTAAATGAACTCCATACATATTATTCATAGAAAATACCTAGTTCGATATAAACAATCATACTCATGAATACAAAATGTGTGTACCGTGCGAGGAATCAAACTCGCGCCTATCGGAAGTAAATCGGTGTGCTAAACTGCTACACCACCGAAGCCGTCAAAATAGATGATGATGTGAATAGATGTGACTAACAGGATTGATTGGGGAAAGGGATTGTTATGCCCAATTTACACTCAGCCCGAGTGGGCAGGGAAGTGAGCAGCGCGAGAGTGGAAACACTTCCCATGCCATTGGCGCTGCCACTCGCGCTGCCGGCGCTCCCTCGATAGTCGGTTTTTCGTGCGCGAGTCAAAGGACTGGCAGCGCGAGTGGCAGCGTGTTTTACATTCAGCCCTTTCGCTCAGTTGTCGCCCGGCAATATTGCCGGCACCGCGAGTAGCAGGGGAAGCGGCTGAATGTAAACGTAGCATTATGTGGACTGTTGAAGCATGTCAGGTTGACCTTCCCGTTGTTCTCCCTGAAAACCATCATGTTAAATTCCTGGTGAATTTGTCACGATATGCTAACTGACCTGACCTCGTACTCATCTTATCATTCTCCACTGGTGCACCGCCAGCGTATACCATTAGAGCAGGTGTGTGCACTATTCCATTTTCATCAATTATAAAAAAATCACATTCTAATCAAATTAAATCAAAATATCGTTATTCATGTAGGTCTATTACAGACTTATGATGTGTCAAATCTACAGTCAGTTCGAAATGCTTTCGAGATGAGAAGAACTGACAAGAAACTCAGCTCGAATTTCATCGACAGCATGACCGCTTCAAGTTACTCCACTACGTCATTTATAGTATTTACTTCATCACATCTTCAAGCACAGTTTCCACCCATTACAAATATTTAATTTAATTATAAAAACATTATATTATTTATTTGGGCAAATTCATGTGTTGCAGGTGGTGAATGTCCAGGAGTCCGATTCTGATGAAGAAGTGGAGAAGAAAGATGTATTTAAATTGACTGATGAGGAATTATTTGCGGCCTGCGGAGGACGAACAGCTCATAAGTATGACTATTAAATTGGTTATGTGTAAATAATTACTTGTAGCGGGGTACACCACATAGAAAGCCAGGTAGAATATTCAAATTTCAAAATTCACTTCCCAGTTTAATGGAAAAATTGTTCCAAATAAGTGATAACCTCTTGTCTAGCGGTTTAGCACACATCCTTAGGACTAGATGGCGTTGTGTGGTGTATATTTATTCAACTTTAATGCACACCACAGATAACATAATATTACATACAGATACCCCATCCCATACAAGAAAATGGTTCCTTCCTAACTCGGGCTATTCTTCGGGCTATTTTATTTCGCCACCGTAGCCGCTAGATGTCGCTAGATCTGAAGCAGTTCGGATTACTAGTGGGTGCTTAGTAACAAAGCATGAAAATAGATGGCAGTGAATTCAGTCTACATGACATCTGTTTTGCAAAGATATGTATATAATAGATATGTAGGTAACTGTATCGTGTACCTCATTAGGGACGATTCAAGATTCAATGTAAATGTGTAGGTATAATATCGTTAGCCGACACTCTGCAGATATGGCTTATGTGCCAATGTATATACCTATTATGTTATGGTTTATTTTACATTCCATGCCTATTTTTTTGATATGTTGTAACGCGTCTGCGCTATACGTATAGCCCGATTTTGATACTTTTATACTCGTACGTATCAAAATCGGGCTATACGATTTTTTATTTCAATCGTTATGTGTAATCGACTGGTTTTAGCTACAATTAATTTACTGGTATATACCTCATGTATTCTACGATGTACCCCTCTTTTCCCTAATGAGAATTCCGCTATATCTTATATATAAATTTTGTATCACAGTGTTAGTTGCCATATTTCTCCCACATTTTGATGAAATTTGATATGTACACTTGCCAGGTCTGAGGTAGGGTTGTTATCTATTTTTTATACCCCTAAGTCATAGGGGTGGCCTACCCCGAAAAAATATGTTTTTGTATTATGGACAATTTTTTATTTATTTATAATGTTACATTGAAAATACATACACGCCTAAATTTTCACCCGTCTTTCACCAACCCCTATTTTTAATAGCGATATTCTTACAAATATTATAAATGCTAAAGTAACTCAGTCTGTCTGTTTGTCTCGCTTTCACGCCAAAACTACTGAACTGATTTAATTGAAATTTGGTAGACAGATAATGTAGACCCTGAGAAAGGCTACTTTTTAATGCGAAAAAGTATTGAAAGGGGAAATGAAAGGCTATATGAGGATATCGTAATTTTTAAAGTCAGATCTTGTAAGATTAAGTAAACAGGGTTAGTCTAGGTTTTTCATTATTAGAAATGTGTAACGGGGTAACACGTTATTTAGTGCAAAATTGTGTATATTACAATAAAATTTAACGAGAAAATATTATAATGATGTCACTGGGACACTCATTGCTTACTACTATATCGTCCGTTAGTCGCGAACTTTCTGGAAACACGAGAGGCGCGCTCCTATTGGTTAGTAGATGAGGTAGACGAGTCCCACGGCGCCGCAGCGTAAGTACTTACTATACATACGTAGTATACATATGGGTGTTACAAATGTTTTTATTACGAGTAATATTACTCTGTTATCTAAGCAAGTAATGTGTGCTTATTTTGAACTTGATAACATTCTGAATTACTCGTATATCTTTCAATATCTTTAGCGGTATAAACCAGGTTATGTACTACTACTAGTATTGTTAGTGAGGGATAAAGTTGATGAACAAAAATAAAGCAATATTCGTATTAAAAATATATTCATCTAATATTTTTGGCATTATTTTTAAGTTTCTTCCAAATACAAGGGGTCTGACATGGGGTGTTATGTACCTACATTAAAAGATACTTTTTGAAATGTATGAAATGTATGAAAGAAATGTACGTACCTACATTAGAAGATAATTTTTGACATGTATGAAATGTATGTACCTACATAAAAAGTTCATTTTTGAAATGTATGAAAGAAATGTATGTACCTACATTAAAAGATAATTTTTGACATGTATGAAATGTATGAAAGAAATGTGTGTACCTACATTAAAAGATAATTTTTGACATGTATGAAATGTATGAAAGAAATGTAGTACCTACATTAAAATATAATTTTTTAAATGTATGAAAGTAATGCATGTACCTACATTAAAAGATAATTTTTGACATGTATGAAATGTATGTACCTACATTAAAATATAATTTTTGAAATGTATGAGATGTATGAAAGAAATGTATGTACCTACATAAAAAGTTCAGTTTTGAAATGTATGAAATGTATGTATGTACCTACATTAGAAGATAATTTTTGACATGTATGAAATGTATGTACCTACATAAAAAGTTCATTTTTGAAATGTATGAAATGTATGAAAGAAATGTATGTATGTACCTACATTAAAATATAATTTTTTAAATGTATGAGATGTATGAAAGAAATGTATGTACCTACATAAAAAGATCATTTTTGAAATGTATGAAATGTATGAAAGAAATGTATGTACCTACATTAAAAGATAATTTTTGACATGCATGAAATGTGTGTACCTACATTAAAAGATAATTTTTGACATGTATGAAATGTATGTACCTACATTAAAATATAATTTTTGAAATGTATGCACCGTACAATAACAATACACGTTAAACATCATACCACAGAGTCATACGCAAGTTAAAAACAAACTGCTATGATATATTAATGAGAAAGGAAAATCAACTTTATGGTATTCGAGTTAGGGTCGATTTCTCTCTTTTTTTTAAATACTATTTTAATCTTACCAGTTGCCAGTATTCGAAGACAGCTACGATTCGTACTCGATATTTTAAATTATTATGTAATCGATTATTCAGTACAAATGTAAATAACCAACGACACTAATAATGTACTACTATATTCCGTTCTTTGAAACGGAACACTGCTATAATACATAATAATGAAAATTTACTGTTCACAACGACTCATTAAAAGCATCATCGAATAATGCGCTGTAATAAAATCCTGTTATCGATTATTAAAAAAAATCGATAATACATGTATTTATTTTTAATATGACAACACTTCATACATAAGTATTATTGGAAATAGTATTACTTGCTTTTTCGGCTATTTTTAATTTACTTAAAAATTTTTTATATGTTTAATTTACAATAATAATATATTAAGTGCTTATTATTGGAAAATATAAAAAAGACATTTAATTAGGCCGATACAAATGACGACAATGCCATCTATGAAAGCATTTTGAAAACATTGAGCCCCATATTAGCACTGATTAAAGTGTAATTAAGTACTGGAAAATAACAAAATGAGTAAATATATGAAAATTACTTTTCTAAACGCATTATTTCATTTTAACATGTATATATAACTTTTTAAAAATTGATTAAACATTTTTGAAAACACAGTTTTGTTTTTTAAAACGTTTGCAAAACTATGAAGAATTCCATCGATACCAATCACGCCATCTATATGCAACTTTTAGCAATAATAATGGCTACTTCCTCATTGAGTGCCACTGATGCACACAATACAAAAGGAAATAGGACATTTGGTGGAATGAACATCAAGTGTTATTTTCTACCACTGTCTCAATTTTTATTTAACACTTCAATTGAAATAAAATGAAAATAGTAGGAGTATCAGAATATTTTTATTGTTTGAAATTGTACTCTTATTGTTGTCATTAAGTGCAATTTAATTTGTCAATTGGCGTCGGTGATGCCATATAAAATAAATAATTTTCTTTACAGAGGGGCGCGTCATGGTCTTAAAGCTGTTGGAAAATTAGCAAGAATAGCACAACAAGAGCAGGCGTTGTTGAAAGAACCACAATTCGTCGGTTATTCACACAGAAAACGAATGGAAGAAAACTTATCACCACTTGAGCTGTCTGTTGTTGAAAATACGAATTTAGATAGTGACGCTGATGTATCTGTGGTAAGAAAGAAAAAGAAGAAGAAGAAACACTGTAACAGTGAAAGTAATTTAGAAAAAAAATCTTTGAAGGACATTTCTGAAAGACCACATAGCAATTTGACTAATGATGTAGAGGAAAAAAATACGGAAGAAATATTAAATAGTGTTGATAAATATGTAAATGGAAGTATCAGCAAGAAATCTAAGAGAAAAAAAGAAAAAATAAATACAGAAAATAGTGAATTATGTGAAAATATTAATGTAATTGCTAAATCTAAGAAATTAAAGAAGAATAGTGACATAGAGGAGATTGTTGCTATGGATACAGAGTGTGATATAAAGGAACAGCAAATGGATACTTTAGAAAATTGTATGAAGAAGAAGAAAAAGAAAAAACAGAAAACTATTATTTCGTCATAATTAAATGTTTTGTTCATGACAATTTGTTTTTTTTAACAACAATATAACATTACTATTATGTTATCTGCGGCATTATTAAGCCCATTATGACTATACTAGATAACTAGTATATAGTTTTTTTTACAAATACATGTTACAGGTACTATGGTTTATATATCCTTATTCTTTTAACCACTAATCGGATTTAAAATATAATGAGCGAAATGTTTATTGAGATTTCTAATTGTTGTGTTCACCACATCGTCAGGTCACAATGCCTCTGATTACCTCAACTACGATAGCAGTGAGATCTGCTTTTTAGTTTGAAAGTAATACTGGCAATGTTAATATTCTAAGGGCAACATTAATATTCCTTGTCATTATCTGTGACTGAGAGCAAGACCTAATTATTTAATCTGTGCTATATCGTGAGTGTCCGTGTTCTGTCATTGTCACTTACTGACTGAATGACATAGTAATCAAACAAGAAAATACAACACAAATATAATTGCACAGAAAATTTCTTTAAATTAATCCGTAAAAATGTCGATTGGGAAAATATTAGCACTAGACAAAGTAGCTACGTTTTTCAATATTATCCGCCAAAATGGTGGTATAAGGGCTTCGTTGTATAAACTCTACAGGTAATTAAAAAAACAATTATGTAATTTTTGTGAGGTTGTGTTGTGTTGATAATTTGTCAATAATTTATTAATAAATAGTAAAACCAGCGACTTCGTATCTGAGGATCATCAGGAATATATTTTCCCGCTATAAAACGGAGCCTATATTTCATGATACACCTCAAGTAAAAGGAGCATCGGTGAAACCTATTTGATTTGATATAACAGTATTTTTAGATGATAATAGCATGGGGCACCTGCCAGCTTTAACGGTTTACGGTGGTGATACACCAGTGGAGGATAGTTGGATGAAGTCTGGTCAATTAACACATCATGTCTATTTCACCTGAAATTAATCACGTTAGTTTCCAGGAAGATCTCATGGTGATCAATCTGATATGATACATTATTAGCAATAGCGTCACAAAATTCCCTCCCCTCTCTCTCACCTCTCCTTCTATTACATAAAAACTCCTCCAAGTTTTTATCGAAAAGAAAAAAGATAAACATTATTGAAAATAGACTTGGAAAAAATTTGGAACTAGCTTGGTGCACCATTTCATGTTAATGTATTATATATTATATTATAATTGCCTTCATATCATTATTTGTGGTACCACTATATCCTTTTCTTCCACTCAAGCTCACAAGCTCAGATGTGATTGCAGATAGGGATATTGGCTGTTATATCTGAACTTATTCTCCTTTTATACATATCATCTTTCACACTATCTATCCATATTTTTTGGTCCTTTCCCTTTCAATCCATCTCCATTTTTGTTAAATATGTTGTTTCAGGTGTGGTCCTCACTCCTTCTTCAAATATATTATATATACAAATATAAAATAGGGGGGGGGGATTGTTAGTAATGTGGACTAATGATCCCATTGCTAGCAGTGTACCATGTCAGGTTGACCTCCACGCGGTTCCCCCTGGAAACCATCGTGATAAATTCCCGGTGAATTTGTCACGTTAGGCTAACTGATCTGACCTCATGCTCATCTTATCATCCTCCACTGGTGCCTCACCAGAGTAAACCTTTAGCGCAGACGGGTACACCATTCCATTATCATCCACAAAAAAACATATACAATATGTTGTAAGGGCATAATTTCTATATTTATAGACAAGATGAGTTGAAAGATGGAGTTCTAGTTGGCGAAGACAAGTATGGCAACAAATACTTTGAGAACCCAAGATATTTCTACGGCAGGAACCGCTGGGTGGAGTTCTCTGATGATTATAACATGAACTATGATGGTAGTCAGGTAAGAGTCTGAAGTAGATATATAAATATGAACCAAATTTATTGTTAATAAAAAATTTCGTGTTTGCTAGACCCTTTTTTAAATTATTAGCTTAAATTGCAATACTAATGTGGTATTTATTTGTTAACACAGTTCATTGCGAACAGATTTATTAAAAAAAAAAAAATGATGTGTTAAGTGACTGGTTTTTAGGGAGTGCATATTAACAAAATGAAAATAAAAAATAAAAATAATAGTGAAATTTTACCAAGGATTACATTACTTCTTAACAAATATTAAATGCTAGCAAATATCATAATATTTCAAATAAGCCCACTTTTGTGTATGGGGGGACATGAAAACCTCAAAAAAATGAATTGCGGGTCAATTATCGGAAATCCGATACCTAACACACTATATTTGACGGCCTTGGTGATGTAGCGGTTTAACATATCGCCGTACTTTCGACGTTTGCGCATGCGATTCCTCGCACGGCACAAACATTTGCAATCATAAGTAAGATCGTTTATATCAGTCTGGGTATTTTCTATTTATAATATGTATTTATGACCTAAAAAAAACTGTCTAAAACATTGTCCCTGTATAACATAGGCAATGTTAATTGCTTAAAATAAAATTAGTAAGATGTAAGTAATTCTTCAATATATTTTGTTTTTACTTTACAGATCCCAGCTGAGTGGTTTGGTTGGATGCATTACAAGACTGACCTACCACCGCAACAGGTAAATATATACAATAAAAATGTCACTGATCACTGTCTGTGCATTAAATAATATTCCTGGACAGTACACAAAATGGGGGAAAGGGGATTGTTAGTAATGTGGACTGATGACCCCATTGCTAGCAATGTACCATGTCAGGATGACCTCCATTCCGTTCTCCCTGGAAACCATTGTGATAATTCTGGTAAATTTGTCACGATGGGCTAACTGACCTGACCTCATGCTCATCTTATTATCCTCCACTGGATACTGGTACCCCGCCAGCGTAAACTGTTAGCGCAAGCGGATGCACTATTACTATAGAATGAACAAAGGATACTTTTTACTTAAAAAAAAACATGCGAGAACCTCCAAGAACATGTGTACAAAATTTCATGATGTTGGTTCAGTAGTTTTTAGACGCTCTGACATCCCTATTTTCATATTTATAATATTGATAAGTATTAATATTATATCTTTTATAATACTTCCATTGCAGGATCCCGCCAGACCCCACTACAAATGGATGAGCGACTTCACCGAGAACTTATCCGGTACCACCGGCCAGTACACTCCATACAGCACGACCAGACCCAAGATCGAGGCTTGGGTGCCCAAACCGAAGACTAGTCAGTAACTTGTACTCATAACATCAAGAAAAATCTCCACACAATCAAGAAACATGAACAGAACTTAACTAACTTGTGCATACCTCATACCTTACTGTTTTTTTTATGTAATTGGAATAACAAACAAGGAAATCAAATCAATTCAAAATATCTTTATTCATTGCAAGTTGATAGTAAGTGGTAACAGCGCTTTTTACTTGCACCAAGTCTATTACACTGGCTCTGTCCCCGGCGTCACCCGCGTGAAATTTATATCTTACATGTTATTCTGATGTATGAGCCATATTATTGTAAAGTTTCATTAAAATCCATTCAGTACCTTAAAAGTGAAAGATAAGTAATTTTATAATTCTGCCTAATTTTCTTTGTAACTTTTTTTCCGAGCAATTTTAATACTGCTTTTTATGTAACTAGAATAACAAGCTGACTGTCAAACCTATCAGCGAATAAGTTGTTAAAAAAACAGTCGACACTATTTAAAAAAAATGTTAATAAACTCAGTTATAATAGAAAAAGATAGTTTTCGAATTGTTATAAATAAAACAATAAAAAAAGGTAACTCATCTATATACTCTGTGCAGTGAATGCAATAGACAAACAATAGAATGTTCAAATTGTAATCAGTTATGAAAATGTTAATTTGTTTATATAGTTTTAAGTAGAAAATGAAATAAAACTATTTATGAAATTTTATAACTATTTTAATCTACTCGTAAAATCCAAAGCCTATTAAATACAAGAATACTGAAGATCGTGCCCAGTGGCGTGCGTTGGGAGAGGGATATATCCAGCAGTGGGCTGCAGCGGGCTGATGATAATGATGATGATGATCAAATATAAATTAAATATTATATTATATTTTTAATCCCAGCTCAGTTGGATGCTCCAGATGAGATTTGGTAAGGTGCTCCACACCGGTTCCCCTGGTCGCCCTTACGATTAATCCCTTGTCGAATTGAAACGGGGTTGGAAATTACGACTGGCTGAGCTGAGGTTCGAACGCCAAGCGGTGCCCTCAGACTAAAGTCGTATCCGTCAGGCGGGAGTTGGCCTTCAGCCGCTCCATAAGTCCTCCAGCGGGTTTGGAGTGCCATCTGCACTCGCCCCCTATCATCCGGTGAAGCTCTAAAGGCCAGCTGCGTCCTTAGAGTAGTCTGAAAAATATTTTCATTTAGTACATTCACGGATGAATCTTTATTTGTTGGTTTCTATCAGTCGGATTGGAGACATTAGTTGGCATCAGTAACCAGTGGCCTAGCCTGGTTTTTCTCCGTCTGGGGCCCACCTGAAATTCGCATTTTATTTTAATACTAGCTGTACCCGCGACTTCTTCCGCGTAAAATAGTGACCTTTTTTTTTTATAACACAGGGGCAAACGAGCATGCGTCTCACCTGATGGTAAGTGATTACCGCCGCCCATGAGCACCTGCAACACCAGAGGAATTGCAAGTACGTTATCGGCCTTTTAAAAAGGATCTTTTCTTGAAGGTTTCAATATCATTGCTGGAAGGTGATTCCACAATGTGGTTGTCCGTGACAAAAAGAAACCTTGACTTAATATTGAAAAAATATTTAATAATCTTAACCAATAGAAGCCAAATCAAAAAATTCATCATTGTAGCGTCAAAAATTACTAATGTTAAAATTAAAAATAGTAGTTTAAAATTAAATTATTAATTTCCATATAGAATTACATACAACTCAATCAACAACCTAAAAAAATTAAGCATCTAGCATTAAAAATGACGATTCTTCCATACCTTGCATCTCTCCTTTCAACCCCTTACAACCCTTTTTTCGCATTAAAAAACAGCCTACCTATGTCCTTTCTCAGTATTGTCTGTGTACTAAATTATAATAATAGTTATATCTTATGTACGATAGGATATCCTATGTATGATAGGATAACTGATAGAATAGAATAGAAAATCCCTACACTGCTTGTAGGGATTTTCTATTCTATTCTGTTAGTTATATATCCTTCCCCTCGTTCTCGAGTATGACGGAGAGCCGGCCATCATTCTCGATCATTGCTCGATTATATTGGTACTGAGATTGTTTCTCTGGGGTCGGAGGCTGCGTTCTCCGCGGATACAGTACCGAAATGAGTTAATACGTATTGCCGGGGCCAGTTATTACATCCATGTATAAAACCAGTTCGGCGCGCCGCGGGTCCAGACAGTGGCTCTCAAACTTTTGACCACCTTTTGTGTTGTAAATGGAATGACATACTGCAGAAGTGCAGCTTGAGATTAATGTAATTAGAATAGAATAGAAAACTATTTATTCAAAGAAACTTGTTTTAAGCACTTTTTTATAGTCTATGTTATTATTATTTAATTTACTGCTCATTTAGAAAGCTATCACAAGAAGGACGAGCAAGAAACTTGGATAAGAGGCATGAGATTATATATATTTATTTTTTGTATAAAAAATCTAACTTAAAATTCATAGCGCTGACAATGTTATCCGATTAAACAAAAGATTGAATGCGTAGCGGTTTCTATGTTGATTGTCGCATGCCTAATCCTTGTTAATGTTTATTTACTTAGAACTATTATTTAAAAAACACACTTAAACTTAAAAATGTAAAGTAATAATAAAATTATTTAAAAGAGCAACACGCAAGTTTTGCTCGTTCTTCTTGTGATGAGACAGCTTTCCGAATGAGCGGTAGATTAAAAAAATGTAACGACTATTCAAAAGTGCTTCAATATAAGTTATTTGAATAAATGATTTTCTATTCTATATTCAAAAGAGCAGCACGTATGAAAATGACGTGTTTAAATTTGTTCTTTTAAATAATCGTTGTAACTTTACATTTATAATTGAAATGTGTGAGTACAAACTATCTACTAGCACCAATAAAAGCATTGGTTGGACTTGTTATTATTAAATACAAAATAATTAAATCACTCGTAGTGGTTATTATTATTGATAGAAATAAACAGCGCGGGAATAATAATAAATATAAATAAATAAGCGTGGGAAGTCCTCCAGCATGGTGGACCGAGGATCTGGTCAAGATCGCTGGAAGGCATTGTATGCGAGCAGCGTAAGACCGATCGTCGTGGAGATCTTTGGGGGAGGCCTATGTCCAGCAGTGGACATCCTCCTGGCTGCAATGATGATGATGATGATGAGAAATAAACATATAATTTATTTTACTGCATAATCTGCACTCTATAACCGAAAGACAGCATAAAAAGCAAACTTGGTTGAAGAGGCAAGACTGGGAAGACAACCCAGATGTTTTTTTTACAAACTCTACCTAGATAAAACTTTGTTATTTAGACTTTCACTTTTCGATATCGGTTAATAATTTGGTTCCATTATTAGAATTGAACCGTTCCTTGTTTACGGAAATTTATTTTTAGATAATTAGCTTGCATTTTGGCGGGAATGTTGTGTTTTCTATTTATAACAGACTAACATTTCATCTCGCCTTCGCTCGGAAAGATTTAATCTGTAGTATATCTATATACAGTATTATTATTATTACTCTTTTATATATCTCCCTTTTTACGGGGGTAATAGAAACAAAGACAGAAAATAGTTTATTTGGTACACTGAAAATAATTTTTAAAATTTAATTTATTAATAATTAGAGTACCAACTAGGTCTCCGCTCAGCATATGTAGTGACGGGATGCCACGACGCTGGTTTTCAGCGGGCACCTTCATATACAATAAACATAATACTTTCAAACACGCGGGCCTTAGCCAAGCGTGGATGAGTTTTTTTTTTTAATTTATTTATTTAAAAAACTTAATGCACAAATACAAAAAAATAAAGGTGCATATGGCAGACTTAACACCATAAGACATTTCTCCCAGTCGACCATAAGGCAAACGGAGATTAGTGGGCGGTGCATTTAAATAAATATAAATACCTACTTCCTTTTATTATTTATTTCATGTTATTATAAAATAAATAATAAAAGAAAGTACAATTATAATAAAATTCATAAATTAAATTTTATATATCCTAAGACTTAAATAAGAATACATGTATATATACATTTAAGCACATAATAATATACATATAAAAATTTATACATAAATACATACATACATACCAAAAAAAAAATCAAAAATGAAAGCGGGAGATCATACTTATATGATGATGATAAAAGTGATGACGAAAGAAATTATTATTATTATTATACAGTAGATATAACTACTATAACTACTGTATATAGAGACTACTACAGATTAAATATTATTAACATTATAAATGGAAAAGTTTGTGAGTATTACATAAAAGTAATTTATTTCTTTCTAGTTAAATTTTGTGTAATGATTTTCGTTAGTAATTAATTTTCTTTCCTAAATTCAGTTGTTAGTCTTATTTTATGCAAATTTTTAATTTATTTTATATTATTATTATAATACTACCCGCGCAAGTTCGTCCGCATCACACTTACTTAACATTTTACATCATTATATATCGTCAAATATACATTATATCTTTTTAAATTATAGTCTATGTGTTATTCTGATGTGTAAGTTATATTACTGTAAAGTTTCATCAAAATCTATTCAGGAATTTTTGCGTGAAAGAGTAACAAACATCTCTACGTCCGTCCATACTCATAAACTTTCGCATTTATAATATTAGCAACTCTAAAATTCTCTTTATATATGTATAATAAAGTTGTGGGCTCTAGTTCCACTGAGTTAGTTGTAGTCCGTAATAGACTTACATGAATAAAGATATTTTGAATTTTGTTATAAATAAACAGACAGACAATGTTTGTGTTAAATATAAATATCTATAGTAATATATCAGGTAGATTTCTATTCCAATCCATAATCTTGAAAAACGTCTAAAATATAGATAAAAAAAATACAAACATCGTAGTACATTCTTACGAAGTTTATTTACAAGAGAATATGTTTTTGTTACAATATTTACGAGAAGGTCTGTCATTGTGATATATCACAAGCCAGTTGGTTTCTCTCACTAAAGTTTAGGAAACTGTGTTCTGTAGCAACTGCTTACGATATACAAGCACAGAAAACGGCCTAAGCTTTTAATAACGTTGAATCAAACAAAAATCTCACTTACATCGCAGTTCATAACGCTCAGTTTCTAATAAAATAAATATAATATAGCGACACACTAATGCAACGGGACTCTACAAAGAATATTGAACTTATTGACTCATGAGAATAAGAGCGTAAATATTTTGTGAAGGCGATAAGCTCCAACGATGTTGAAAAGTTTTTTTGCCTACACAGGTAAAAATATCTTCGGATCCAGTCAAGATGCGACGCGTAGCGAGCTAGACGCATAAGTTGCAGTCAACTAAAGTTTATAAGTGAAATAGTTAATAAAATGTTGTTTCAAACAAAAACTTATTGTTTATGATATTTTTTTATCTGTGGTATCAAGTGAATGTTCGACTGCGACCTTTAAGTTGGTGATATGATTGTGCGTGGATTACGTTTATGCACTCTTTAGAAATAGTTTATACGTGCAAAAAAAGTTATAAATTGTTATAAAACAGGATCTCAATTTATGGTGAGTTTCGCATGTTAGAGACTACATTTCGATGGTGTACAGCTATTATTGGGGCCGGTGTTGAACAAAGAGATAAACTAGTTTGGAAAGTAGGCGTCTTAATTTTTGTTAGGCACTTAACTGTAACGTAAGGATGTTTGGCTCGTAAAGTTTTTTGTTCTCAAACAGAGGGTGGGGTAGTGTTGCGATTTTTTGTCGATAGAAATGTATCGATTAGATGTTATAATTGCTACATTGGAAAAAAGTTATCGTGTCATTTTTTTTTAATTAATACTACTGTACCCGCGACGACGTTCGCGTGGAATTTAAGTTTAATTTTTAAAAATAAAAGTAGCTTAAGTTACTCCTCATTACATCAGCTATCTGCGTAAAAAGTCCCGTCAAAATAGGTCCAGCCATCTCAGAGATTAGCCGGAAAAAACAGACAGAGAGACAGACAAAAATTGTAAAAAATGTTATTTTGGTGTAAGTACCGTATTTATATTTATATGCATGTAGTAAAAAAACGGTTTTCTCAAAATTCTCAAATTACAAACAGACATTCTAATTTTATTTATATGTATAGATATATGTAATTTTGCTTACACATCTAAATTACAATGTAATTATTATATTTAAAAAGATTCCGTGTTCATGATTCATGATTGATTACAAGTAGCTAAATTGTTCGTGATTTTTAAAGTAACAGCTACTTTTAAACGAAACATATTCTAATCAAATCTTGAAATTACAAATGGTATATTAATTGAATTCGATATTAACATTAAATTTATGTAAAATTGACATAAAAAATAGAAATGTCGATAAATAAATCAAATGACGTTAATGCCATAAATGATACGATTTCGTTTAGATACAGATTTGAATTTGTCAAGATAGTTTATGACTGCTTTCAAAGATTATGTTGCTTTGAACCTTGTCTAGAAATAATAATAAATAATTTGTAATTAACTGCCTTTGCCAGTAATATTACTTTCACGTGGACGTATGTATGGCTCTACATATGCTATACATTAAGAAATTTACTGTAATTAGTGCTCTGTGGTCACACAGTGGTCGAATTTCGTCTACAATTAATTTAACATTCAATAAGATAATAGGCAAATAATATTAAAGACAAACAATATTTATCTATTCTCAATTTGACCATAGACTTTAATAATAAACAAACAAATCAGGATATAGGCGTGTTTGTGTCAAATACCTACATGGTAGTGCATGTAATGGTTTTTTTTATTGATTTCATTTATTATGCAAAATTTAAGAAAATGATATCCCTGACATTTCGGGGAATGGGGAGTATGATAGAACTAGATCTATATATCTATACTAATAGGTTTTTTTTTACGGATGATAATGGTATGGTGCACCCGCCTGCGCTAATGGTTTACGCTGGCGGGGCACCAGTGGAGGATGATAAGATGAGCATGAGGTCATGTCAGTTAGCCCATCGTGACAAATTCACCAGGAATTTATCACGATGGTTTCCAGGGGGAACCGCGTGGAGGTCAACCTGACATGGTACATTGCTAGTAATAGGTCAAGAGTCCACATTACTAACAATCCCCTTCCCTCTAAACTAATAGGTATAATAAAGCTGAAAAGTTTGTTTGTTAGTTGGTTCTGGTTCCAATTGAAACATTCTATTTGTGTTGATAGTCCATTTGTCGAGGAAGGTTTTAGGCTATATAACATTACGGTACGACCAATAGAAGCGAAGCATCAGTGAAAAATGTTGAAAAAACGGGGAAAATTATTCATCTTTTTATAATTATTTACTATTCTTATGTGTTATTTGAATTTTGTTTGTACTATCTTTGTTATCGGGATACGAATAAAGATTTTTATCTATCTATCTATCTATATATTTGCGGGCTTCCGTTGCGTGCGCTGCGTAAACGGTTCAAGTTAGCCAAAAATGTGTATATAGTGTTTTTGATAACCACGCGAACGAAGTCGCGGACACAGCTAGTCTTTACATATAAATAAAATTGGAGTGTCTGTTTGTAATATTGAAATAACCGTTATTTACTACATGCATATGAATAGAAATACGGTAAGTACATACACCAAAATATTTTTTTACAATTGTTGTCTGTCTGTCCGTCAGTCTATTTGTTCCGGCTAATCTCTGAAATGGCTGGACCGATTTTGACAGGACTTTTTTGGCAGGTAGCTAATGTAATAAGGAGTAAATTAGGCTACTTTTACTTTAGAAAAAGAAAGTTAAATTCCACGCGGACGAAGTCGCGGGCACAGCTAGTAATATATATAATGAAAATTATTGTATTGAGTGCATAATGCTCAACAATCCCACAGTTATTAAATACGAGTGTAGTATATGTAACTGTGGCTAATTGGTCGGTCATTGGCTCCGCTGGTCACTGCTGATGTACTGTAACGACGATTTGAGGTCATCATGATAGAAAACAATATTTACAAGTCTGGTTGTTTAGGACTGAAGTGTTTCGCGAATTTGGAACTGTATAAAGGTGACGTGAAGCAAAAACTTTATATACACCTTTTACGAAAATTCCGCGGACGGAAGAGTATGAAATTGTACACTTATTATAGTTCAAATAGAGAACCAGTGCAGAATGATAATATTTTTTTTAAAGAAGATATGCATACAAATACTTTAAATCAATAAAAAAAAACATTACACGCACTACGCACTGCATCCTCTATATTAACTATATATTAGTTTACATAGAGGTGTAAATTATGTAAACATACACATAACGTTAATTGTAACAAACATCTCTATGAGGCATTTAAATAAGAAAAATATTATAATTACACTGGTTTTAGGAGCTACGATACCATAGATTTTTCAAACTTAAAACGTCCCTCTTTTTGCGTCTGTGGCCGATAAAGCAAACCACGAAACAATAGAAAGCAGTGACAATTTAGAATAGAATTTTGGTATTCGAAATATAAATAGATCATAGACTAAATAAGTGGCCTGTATTCCACAGCGTCGGAGTTTAAAAATGGCTGTATTGTGATCCAGTGCCTTTTATTTTTTAATGGTGTTTTTTTAAAACCTTTTTGGACTGCGATATTTCGAAATGGCAACACTAAATTGAGGCGTCCACACTCGAGGCGGTCTTACAAGTATCCGTTTTTGGTAAGCAACTGTTACATCACACTCTACGGGACTTTGTGCTTCTTTTTATAACCAGCCACATCTGGCAACGGACTTCGATACAAACGGCCATGACCTGCCATTGTGCATACCATCCGGCCGGTCGTATGCTTCGTACCTATTATATCGGAATAAAAATAATCTTTGTTCAAATAAACTCAATATAAACACTTTTGGATAATTATATAATGTTTTATCGATTCTACCGCTCATTCGTAAAACAGATTCATCACCAGACGAGCAACCCTCTTTCATCTTGTGATGAAGCTGTGTGTTATTTTTTAAATATAATTTTGCTTAGCTTTACACATTTAACATTTTGTTTGAATACAGTTCAATACATTATTTAAATTATTAACCGGGTCTTAACACGAATAATTTTGTGGCAAATAAAGGTATTTACCTCTCTCGACGTTTTTAATTAATGTATATTAAACACGAAAGTTTAAAATTAACAGTTCAATACAGACTGGCAAATTGCAAAATTTACAAAAGTAATTAAATATAATAGAAACTGAAGAACTTATGTATTATGACCTGATGTCGACATTTTGTGGTATTTTATTTTTTATTTTAGAACTAGTTGTGCCCGCCGTATCTACCGCATGGAAATTATAGCATATTCTGCTGTATAATCTGTATTACTGTAAAGTTTCATTAAAATCTGTTAAGTAGTTTTTGCGAGGAAGAGTAACAAACATCCATCACTCTATACGTCTATATCCACAAACTTTCGCGTTTATATAATAATATATACTAATCTCAGGACAATTCACACAGCGCCATCTAGACCCAAGATAAGCTAGCTAAAGCTTGTGTTATGGGTACTAGATAACTGATACATATACATAGATATTTTTTTTGTAAATACATACATATTATACATAGAAACACCCAGACCGATACAAACAATCATACTCATGAATACAAATGTTTGTGCCGTGCGAGGAATCGAACCCGCGACCATCGGTCGTAAAGCGGTGTGCTAGACCGCTAGACCGCCTAATTATTAGTAAGATTGTGGTTGGGTAGTTTACAAACAAATATGGAAGTCAAAGAATCATCTAGTCAATAATATGATATAACAATTTCATTATATTTTTTACAAATGACATCTGCAGCATCTATTATTTGACAGCTGATAATACACTATTTGGCATCTCTTTCGTCATACTCGTGAACGGGTACTGCTTGTCGGAATTGGTCTATTCGGGTTACAGCTACTGATTAAATTATTCCTCTTGATGAAAATGCAATAGCATATCCTGGTGGTCACTATATTCTCACTAATTGAATTTTAATGACTGTGTATTATTGTAAACATGTACAACATTTAGTTGAGTTTCTTGTCAGTTCTCCTCATTTTGAAATCATTCCGAACTGACAGTAGATTTGACATTATAAGAGTCTGTAATAGATCTACATGAATAAAGATATTTTGATTTGATTGACTTGTTCAATAAGAGCTGAGTTTCTTGTCAGTTTTTCTTAGCTCGACGCACTCCAAACTGACTATATATTTCATATATCATAAGAGTCTGTAATAGACCTACATGAATAAAGGTATTTTAATTTGATTTGTTGATGTTTAGTGGTGGTTAAGTTGATGGATATGGATATGAATATTTTTTTTCAAATGGATGAGCAAGTATGTATATACCTACTTAGTTACATTTTGGCCTCGTTATTAAACTAACAACGTTAGGTTAAAATAACCATTCATAACGGTTGCTGTATAATAAAATTATTATTAAAAATTATAACCGTTTCTTTTAGTAAATACAATATAACTGTTTACCCGATTACGAAGAAAGGAGGGCACTATTTTCGGGATTGTATGCACTGTAATTGT